GTCTAACCCGTTATCTAATCAGATGTGGACTTTGGTAAGGTAACATCACATTACGGTACATAAAAATATTAATGCAAGATTCAGACCTAGCTGTTAAACTTACTGTTAATATTCAACAAGATATTTAAGATTTTTTCAATGTATTTGTTGGAGACATCTAAACATACATCCAAATACATGTCAAATCTGGGCATTTGCATTACAATCACACAGGTAATGTTATCATTTTGCAGAAATATTATACTGGTTTAATGTGACAAAGTGGTTCAGTGGGTGTGCACCACTTGTCCCTTATTCTTTTTTTCTGATTTGTAATGCTTTAATTTAAACGATAGTTTGCAACTTTGCTTCAGTTTCTATCCCGGGTTTGTTTGTGTTAGCATTATGTTGCACTTTCCATCTATTTATATTTTTAGGTAAAGCTATTACCTCTGCGTTACTGGTTGAAATTGAATATTTTGTTTCAAAGTATATGCATGGTATTTGTTTTCCTTTTTACTCACCATTGTTTGTCCAAGTATTTCCTGCTAAATTGGCTAGATGATGTCATCAATTACCTTGTTGGGTTCTACCATTTAGAGGGTTTCCTTTGGCGTAATGCTTTGTTTGTTTTTCTTTAAAGTAACTTTTTGAGTTATCTTGTATCACATTGATTATTTTGCAGACTCTTTCATTATGTAGATGACTTTAGATTAATAATTAGATTAATAATTTCATTCTTGTTTCTCTGTTTAGACTTTGTTTTTTTTTGTTTTTTCTCTACGTGTTTAATTGTGGCTTTGTCCTATCAAGTGCGGGTGTGTTGCCAATTGGTTATATAAGCACTGAGCTCTTGGAAGCTCAGGAAGGGTTGTCAGAGTGAAAAGTGCTAAATACAAGACAACAGAGAAATCTGGAACTGGTGGCTGAAGCTGTTTTTTTTTTTTTGTTCAACTTACTGATCCTCGACCAAACTACTTCACATTTAAGAGAATGTAGTTTAATTTACACCTCTTGTGAGACATTTACCCTGACTTTATACATAATGCCATGTCTTTAATGTTACATACACGGGCTAAACAGAGAGGTCTCGAAATCAGAAGTTGGATAGCCAAAAAGGTTGTTTTAATTTCTTCTAAAAAATTACACAAAACAGCCTTTTCCAAAAGGAAGCCCATCCATCTCTGAAACACCCAGCAGTAAAACTTTGTGTAAACTTTATCGCCCCACAACTGGCCTATCACATCATCCTTCTGTAGAGAGAAACACACAAAAAAAGATGAAACTTCATATAAATAATCATAAATTTATCAGTTATCATTGAGGAAATGAAAAGAAAACATTTCATGTATACATATACAGTTAACGTACATACAAGGGCGTACAGTAGGTTTGATCTCAACTTTGGTAGGGACTCTATTGGTCTTAAGTTGAATTGGTCCTGCTCATTATGCATGCTCCTATTTTTTTAATGCTTGACGTGAGCATCAGGGCGCATTTCGTTTAAAGAGAAAACAGCATTTTTTGCTACATTTATACAAATTTTAATAGCACTACACTCACGATATGCTGTTTATCAATGTTTGAAGCATCAGTGGCTCAGAATAATGTAAAATTGGGATAATTTAACACTTTGAAAAGAGTTACATTTCAACTTACCATTGACTAAGACAGAAGGTAAATATGTGCCTTTTTGACCAAATATAGTCTAAATATGTCTGTTGTATGTGTATTTTATGCGGTGTTTTCTTTTGAAGGAATAGAATTGTGCAGCGGCAAATGGAGGTAAAACCCACTATTATTTATTTATTTTGTTTATCTGATATGCTGATATTCTCTGTACTGTAAAACAAAGCAAAATAACATATTCAAGGGACTGCAAAGAGATTTATTGTATTTACATGGGCACGGAAACTATAAGAGGAAATGACACTGAGCATTTAAAATATTAACTTCAATATACTGTACAAGTTGTGAGAAAAGAAGCAACTGCTGCAACAACACTGTATTATTGTACATTTTAAACATGTTATTCACATAGAATTATTAGTAGGGACAAGTAGGTCGGGCCAACATTTTGGTAGGGTCATGTCCCTATGGTCCCTATGCAAACCTACAGTACTGTATGCCCATGCTTACATATGTTCCAGTAAATCAGATTCCTACTGCCAGCTCATGTCCAATATCGCTTTTTCCTCTTTACTTGCAGTTTAAGATTGCTGCCATTGAGGACATACTCACATTTTGACTGAGTAACTAAATCACAACAAGCAAATGGTTACTTACATCATTGCACAGTTGAGTTTTTAGCCCTAATTTCATTCATTGTTTGCAGTATAAGCTTAGTTCTTCCTTTAAAACATGTGTAAAAAAGTGATCTGTTGTAGCAGACTGTGGTTGATGATAATTTCCAGTGCAAATACCCATAGGTTTCTATGTCACTAATAGTCTAAAACTAATATGACAGTAGCTTAAAGGGTACCTAAAATTTGCATGAACTGCTATGGCACTTTGGTGAGTTGTTTTAAGATAGTAGACATGTTTTGAACTAAAACCTCAACATTTTCTCAAGTTTTATGGGAAAAATATTCTACATTTACACCAAAAGGAAGAAAATTAAATGGTGCATGTTATCTGTTTATTTTATTTTACATAAATCCCAGCTAAAAATTTTATAGGTATTCTTTTCAAATTTGTAGTGCAGCCATAAAAAAACCCCCCAGCTCTTCTAAAAATAGCCTAAAATAGAGGAAGTGTCAGTTTGAATAAAAAATCTGAACTAAAAAGAAGCTGGTGACATTGAGGGAAACACTGTCTTGCTGACATGAATTTGACCCACTTGTATTCTAAGCAGTAAAACTATGGAGGCACTTGATAAATCCCCTCTATATAAATCAGGCATAATTGTGAAGTCAAAGGACAACAATGTATGGCACCAAACAGTAATCAGACATAGAGATATGCAATTGTTTTCAGCCCCACTTAAGTTATAATGTATTATAACAACCTTTATTTTGTCTTTATGAGCTTGCATATCATTTAGAGCAGTGTGGTTACCAAACATTTTTGACTTGTGAACCCCCTTGGCCATTTTATCATACCATGATTACCCCCTTGGTCAAACGTATTATTTTCCAAAAATAGAAAATACAACTGATTATAAAATGAAAAAATATTTATTTAATTTTCTCAACTTCAGTGTTTAATGTTCAAACATTTCATTCTTTCTGATTATAATAAAGAATAACAAATATGTTGCCTTGGAAGCGAATAAGTACTGAAGTAAATACAAAATCAAATTAAGTTGAAAATCCATTATTTTATAAAAAAAAAAAAAAAAAAAAAAACTGAGCTCTTCTGAATAAGTCCCCTCTACACACATCTGAACACAAATATCCGGACAAATAAGGGAAAAAAATGAACAAAATATTCAGATTCACTGTTATTTTTACTTTGTTTTCAGCAATGAATCACTTGATGTTCTCCAGCAAATGCATGTTTTCGACGTTTATCCTTGACTGCAGCTGCTTTGGTGAGTTCTTCTGTTTTGTGTCTCTTTTGTCTTTGCGAGAAGCAGTGCAGGGGCACAGCCCCGATACCCACTCTAGTCTCTTAGGAAAATTTTGGATAGGGCATTTTTTAAAAATGTTTTTGTTGATGAAATCTTGGTTTAATTTGCATTTTATTTTGCATCTCAGCTGTACTTTATTGTATTTAATTATCTGTGAAGTAAAATATTAGATGTTTTCACATACCTCCTGCAATGCATTGGCGAACCACAAGGGGTACTAGTACCCCTGGTTGGGAATCCCTGATTTAGAGTATGACTGAATCATTCTGATAGGCCAAGAGGTTTTGATCTTAGTTCTAGCTGCATTTTGGGGGTTTGTGTCCTGTTGGAAAGTTATTTTGCCTCTAACAGGTGTAGCAAGGTATGAGCAAATAAATAATCACATGGCGAGTTGAGGTGATGATGATAAAGATGTAAGGAAGCTTTTTTGGGTAAAGGTAACACACATTTATTTTCCTAGTTTAAATAATATTGCATTTTTTACTACAGTATGAATTAATTACTTATGATAAAACAAAGTAATTCACAATCCCCCCATAGTACCCTCCCCGCCCCTGATGATTAAGACCTCTGCTCCAAGGCCTGGAGAACTCTTTATATTATATTATATTATAATATAATTATATTATGACTTATGGAGGCAATTGATTGCACTTGATATATATGTGGGGAGATGAGTAAATATGAACCCATATGAAAAGCATGACTTGTTTCCTTTTCACATAAGCAGTGGGTATGACTTTGTGTTGATCTCCTACATTAAACACCAGTAAAAAATCTTTATGGTTTTGTGTAGTAAAAGGGAAAATTTTACAACAAAGAAGTTATAGACGTTATATATATTTTTTAAAGACAGCACAGACACTGTTTTCCTGTATATTATGATTAGACAACCATGCCTCAAACAATGATACTAATACAAATATAACATTAGGTTTTAAGACAGAAACCAGACATATGGTCTGAATATATGAATTGACTTTATTTCAGGACATTTTGTTAAAAAGACTGGTTCTTGCAGGAGAAAAAAAATCTAAAAGCAGAATGAGCCAGGAAAAAAAAAAATGTTTCACTAAACTGAAAAAGAACAAAGGCATTGCAGTCCAAGCCGATTCTGTGGCAGTTTCTCTTCATTTCTTTTTACTTTTCTTGGACAAGAGCCTGTTGAAAACATTGGAGTCAGCAGGAGCTCAGCTTATCATATTTTGCCACTCTGAAAGGATGAGGCGGTGAGGATTTTTATTCTATAACCATCCAAGGCTGTAAAAAGGGATGATTCACAGCCCTTTACCTCACTGTCCCTGCACAGGCCGTTCTCATCATGGTCAACTGCTTTGCCCATCCCCCCTTCTCAGTTAACTGCCTGTCCACAGTTGGATGAGCCAACTGTAAACCACACCGGGTCTGTTAATTAATTAATGTCCCTTAACTGCAAGGCAGACTCCCCCCATTGTACTAGAGTAGTTTTCAGCTGGTTACAGAGGTGCTCACTTGTGCTTTTTGGTTCCGCTGGTGTTGTTGTGGGAAGGCAAAAGAAACAGCTGTGGATGGTCTTCAGCATCATACCCATTATCAATCATCCAGAGGGCCATTGTGGTCCTGTCCTGTAAACGGCGCCAGTGCAAGCAGGGAGGGAGACAGAGAAAGAAGAAGAGAGAGCCGAAGGAAGAAGGGGGAAGGGGGTAGGGTGGATGCAGGGAGAACCAGGGAAGAGGATGGTCGGTGAACTGCCTGGATGCCCACCTCAGCTCCTCCTGTGGGTCTGGGGGGCTCTGCTGCTGTCTCAGTGTCTGTCGTTGGTGCTCTCCCAGGTCCCGGATCCTGAGGTAAGAGTCTGCAGGCGCTCTTTTTCATCCAATGTTTTCTTCACAGAAAAATGCAGGTGTTTCATTGGTAACACATAGTAATCATAAAAGACTCGGTGGTTGGAAAAAAATATGATTGTTTGTGCTGGTGTGGACAGTAATACAGTATAGTTTTGCCAAGTCTTAGTGTTAATGATATTTGCTTTGATTGGAAGACTGATAACTTGATTTCCACCTTAGTCTGACTTCAGTGCTTATGAAATTGGGCAAAAACAAAAGGGGAGAATGTGCAAATTCACAGATGAAAGTAATGTTATAAGATTGTTGCAAAAAGTGCAACCTTATAGAAGTACAACAGCTAGGATTCAAGTAATGAAATCTACATTTGAATAATTATTTTTGGTGAGCAAAAAAAGAGCATATAAGCTAGTTTCATTTGCAGAGAGACCATCCATATCAGCACAAGTTTCACACGCCTCTAACGAAGATAAGAGAAAACGCAGGAAAACTCTAGAGGCAGTACCTGCCCTCTAGCTTCACACAGGCTGCCTTTTTTTTTTTTTTTAGCTTTAACACTTAAATGTTAAAGCTAAAACTTGGGGCAAAAACTTAAAATGTATAAATAGGCTCAGGTCTTTGCCCAGTAGGCCATAATATGCATGGATAATAATAATAGTTAATGACATACATTAGAACACTGCCTTATTAATCAATAAACTGTAATTTGAATTTGCTTAGTTCTAATTGGCTTCTGTAAGATATCAGTCCCCTAAATTGTTACCTTGATTTTATTTTTCTTGTCTCCAAATGATATGTTAAGAGAAGAAAAGCTCTCTTAAAATGGATTTTCAAATCTGCCCTTGAAATTTCAACAGAGAAACTATCCAGCAGGAGGTCATTATTTGCTGCAATTTGTGGTGCTTCAGTTTAGGAACTTTGAGGTCATAATTCTTAAAAAAAAAAAAAAAAAAAAAAAGGTTTTCATTCAAAAATTGTTGCTCATACAAGGATTTAAAAAGGTTTCTCAAAACAGTATTTAGATGCAGGGCTAAATCCCTCTTTTATGTAAATAAGGTCTTTTGGTATTGGGAGGCTTTTTTGTTCAGATTCAGAGTTTTTCTTAGTGCTTCTGAAACAGTAGAAAGCTTTTTGTTTTATATTACCTACAGCTTATCTTTGATTTAGCCAAAATAAATGTTGGTGCTTCTCTGCTGAATACACGTTAGCCTCTTCTTTTCCTTTATTTCAATAATTTTTTTTCTTGTCTTTTTTTGCTGGAGGATAATATAAAGCTATTACGACAGGAAAGGCAGAGAGAACATTGAGTTAATTCAGAATTTAAGAGCAGAAGTAGAATAAAGCAGAATAATAAAAAAAAAAAGGTTTTTTTGTCCTCCAGCAGCCTAAGTATAGAGTTTTATAACTATAAGCTTTATCAAAAAGGGACGTTTTAAGCCTAGCCTGAAAAGTAGACAGGGTGTCCACTTGTGAGCATGATAACCAAAATATCTGCTTCCCATTCTACTGTTAAAAATTCTAGTATACTTGCAGATTGAGAGGAAAGGTCTATATTAGGAACAAAAGTAAATTCATTGTGGTCTGGATTTAACAGAAAGCCAATTCAGGGACGCTAAAATAGGATAAATATAACTTTCTTTTCATCACAAGGCTGGCTGCAGCAGCATTTAGGATCAGCTGAGGATTTTTGGCTACATTTCTGTGTGATACTAAAGAATTGAAATAGTACAACCATAAAGTAAAAAATGTATAGACCAGTTTCTAAACATCACCTCTGGACAAGATATGTCATCTCCTTTGCAAAATTCCACCAATGAAAGAAGTCAATTCTGGAAAACTTTTTCATTTCGGATGTTCAATAAATCATATTTAATTGTTGATCCCCCCGCACAAAAAAAAAAAAAAAAAAAAAAAAATGGTGTTATATTATTTTGCATGAAGTTATCATGACATACTCCTTTCGGATTATTTTCTAATTTATTAGAACATAGTATTAGAATTTTATAGAGTCTTTGCAGTAGAGAAGCTGCAGAAAGGTATGTTAAGCTATGACTTTGCTTCCTGATCTGGATTTTGGGCTGTCAAAGTTATAAAGGACTTATAAATTCAGAAGGGTTTTCTAAGAGAAAGAGCTGCCATCTCTCTGAACCAGAGCAGGTTATTTATTTATTTTTTATTTATTCTTATGTAATTTTAAGCATAACCCTCATTACTTTCAGGACACCACCTTAGATAACCTGCAGTTTGATGATGACATGATTCTAAATATGTTATCACTGAACATATAATGTATATTAGGGGGTTAGACAAAACAAGAAATAATGTAATTGTTCTAGTGAATTGGTACACAAAAGCAACATCCATTTTAATGACCTCGAATTGTGGAGCCAGATGTAAGTTTTTTTTTTAAGCTGCTTTATATTCAGCTTATCCTTTCTTTCCATTTGACCACCTCAATGTGTAAAGCAAGCAAATATAATAATTGTCTATTTTTAGGACAGTTTTTGTTGCTTCATAGATTAAAGTGTAGGGTTTCCACAACAACCTTGTATTATCCAGTTAAATGATCAATATACAGCAGACAGAGAAAAATCCTTTTGATTAGTTTATCGGGGGGTGATGCTCTGCTGGTTTTGGTTGCACTGATCATTTATCCAATTGGGAAAATATATAATTGTTCTTCCCTAAGCTTCAGATATAGGGGTTAGGGGTGAGATAAATAGTTTAAAATTCTACCGGAAAAAATCAATAGGAAATATCCCAGCAACATAATATTGCTAGATCTATTTAAAGGGGAAGCACATGAACAATTTGGCTCTGGTTTAAGTGTTGGGTTTGCAGAACTCTGCCCTTGTTACTACAAATGAGTGAAATGTCTCCTAAACAAAATGATAGAAATAGTCTAACATCAAAATGTATAAGCTGAAATAACTTTAATGTTCTTTATGAGTTTAAGCTTTTATACTTAAAATGAAAGAAAATTCTTTAAAATGATTGCTGGTAACACATCAGTATAGATTGTAGAAATATTGATATAGGTCTACACAGCAGGTCAGAATTATTATGTTTTAATGTGAAAAATGAGTTTGCTTTGTCGTCTCTTTGCAGCTTTTACCCACAGAACCCCCAAAGAAGCCGGATCCTGTCAATTCAGAGACTGTCGTTTTCTGGGGACTCCGGTTATGGCAGGTCATAGGCATCTTCTCAGTGTTTGTCTTGGCTGTTGGTCAGTATTCGTTTATTGTTAAAGTCTCCCATGCTAGCTAACGTGAAAGTGTAACAGTAATCCCAACTACAATTATTGAACCCCCTTTGCATTTTTTTTTTTTTGTAGGCATCATTCAGAATTGCTCAGATATTAAACTACACAAATCTAGTTCACATAGTTTAATAAAATAAATTAATACCCTACTTACTTTGAATGACTATATGCAATAACTCAGCATACATTTGGAAAGCAGCTACATCTAAGGCACACTTGATTTGACAATTTGAGGGATTCATTTATGTGCTTGATATAGATTCCCCTAATAATACTATAGCTGTGTGAAATGTTTAGAAAAGATAATTATTTGCTTTACTCAAACATAAAAAAGAATGAAGCAAAAATAGAGAAGGCCTCAAAGTTTCCCATATATATTTGGAAACAGATTTTGAAGGATTGAGGTTAGAGGAAGTGTGGCTACAACACCTAGATGTAGCAAAAGGAAGAAGCCATCAACAGCTGCCAACAACTCCCGAAGAGGCAGACAGTCAAAAACCATGGGGCTTGGTAGCAGCAAATGGACAGTTTTAAGTTTCCATAGAAAGCACATAATCAACATTGAAGGATTATATGTTTAACTTCTAGGGGGAACACTACTACTGACTCTAAATCACAAAAATATTCAAAATCCACCAAATTGTGTTTCCTGCAAAACATTTCTGGTGATATTTTAAGCAGGTTATTGCATAAGGCAAACCATGGATATTAATGAACAGAAGTCATTTGGCAACGCAGGGCAACGGCTAAGATTCTTTAGGAACACCCCCACAACCAGGTGCCTGGCTGTTAATTACATGTAGCGTAACAATGGGGGCTCCACTAATATTTTTATTCAATCCATTTAAAAACATTTTTATTCCTGAAAAAAGGATGAACCATTACTTTTTTTGGTTCTTGAAGAAAAATGTCTTTAGACTGTTAATGCTGAAAGTTTGCATTATAAATAGTTTCTCATTTTAGTAGTTCATGGTTATTTTATTTAAAAATGCAAAAAAAAAAAATAAATAAATCCATGAATGTATGGAGAAAATATTAATATATATAAAATAAGAGGATATGGAGAAGTCATAACCCCTCACTCTACAGGTTTTTTCTAGGTTAGTTTTTCCTCAGTAAAATGTGAAGCACTTAGCTGGTAATAAGTGGAGGGTTGTTAATCCTTTAGCCTCACCATATCTGTAATTTTGTCCCTTTTTTCTTCAGTTATCACCCTGTGCTGCATTTTCAAATGCCGGATTCCAAGGACGAAAAAGGAAATCGAAGCACGACATGCACAACGACAGGCTGCCAAAAAATATGCCAACACATTAGAGACAGTGCCACCTCTGAATGAGCTGACTGAGGTCCCAGGATGTAAGTAGTTCTCTCTCTCTAATACCATTTCAGTATCAACATGACAGAACTTTGTCTATAATAAAAGCGAGAGCAGGCTTTAACTTTGATGTTGACTTGAGCAGTTTACTGAAATTGATCCCTTTTATGCTTTACCTCCTAAGTTTGAATTAATCTGTTTGAAAATGGGATAAGCTATGACACTGAAAGAGGCTGTTTTTACATCGGCTTTGCCTTCACAATATTTGTTTTTAAATATAACCATTCAGGATTGATATACGCGAAAAAAACATTTGAGGAAATGTAATTTATTTATGTTAATGCATAGTTTACAGGGAAGAATAAAACATATCCAGAAAATTTCTCACTGTTTTGTGATTTACAACCATCTTACATCACACTTTCCTGTTTTAATATATTTCACTGGATAAAAGTTTGCCTTAACTTTCTGTTATTTGCTTGAGGCTTTGAAAGCTCTGTTCCTATAATCTCCTCTTTTCCTTCACTTTCCTTCTGTCTTTTCTTCCTTCTTCTCTTCCAGCAACTCCAGATTCCTCTGCAGTGCAGACAGTGTCTGAGCAGGTCCAGGCTCAAAACCCTAACAGCAGTCCTCTCTCTGTGGTTAGGGTCAGCGAAGACCTACCCAGCTCTCTCTCTTTGCCAGAGTCAGGATGATGTTTTTTTTTTTTTTTCCTCTAGTTTTCTTTCACTCTTATCTTCTCTGACCAGCTACTTTATAACGCATGCTTTTCACAGTAGCAGCCACTCTAAAAGCACCCTTTATTCATGTATCCCACATACCTTTCACTCTTATCCATTTAGTTAATGTGGTCTCCATTAATAGTCAGCAGATACACTTGTAGCAAAAGTAAAATACATGCAACAGAAATTGTATATTTTATTTACTTTGCTTACTGCATCACTTATAAAATGTTAGCAATAAGATATAACAAAAATAATGAAGATGTGCTTACTAGTGACCTAGTCTGTGAGAAAACTCCTGCTACGAATACTAAATACATATACCGCTGCTTTTACAATATTTTAGTTTTATAGCAGTTTGACTTGTAGTCTTCAGTATATATATATATATATATATATATTTATATGAATGTGTATTGTTGTCTGTGGGGGTGTGTTTGTGTGTGTGTATGCATTTACACACAAGGTGGTATCGAATTACTTACCCCCATTAATTTTACACTTGCATATCAATATGATGTGAGGGTAAACAGAACCTGGGTGCACACAAACTACAGTTTTAAAATGAAACCTTTATTTATTAATGGATAAAGCTATTCAAACCTACTTAGGTTTATGTATGTATTTATGTGTATTCTATTAACCCCTAACACCTAAAACTAATAAGTTCTTGCCATCATCTGCATCTACTGTTCTCAACAGCTTCTAACAGTAACCACAAGGTAACTAGTAAAAAATATTTCAAATGGCTATGGAAGAATTTGGATCTGTCTTTGTAAAATTGCTTTAACATGAACAACTTTACCACCTTAAGGCTTTTTAAACTATAAGCACCCTGATTAAGAGCTGTCCATGACATCCTGTAGATTTAAATTAAGATTTAATTCCCTCCTGATTTTACAAATACAGATACTTTGCCTATGTTCTAATCAAGACTAAAACATGCTCTGTTCAGACTGCATATTTCCACTGATTGCCCTGTGCTAGTCTTATTATTGTGTATTGTTAAACATGTCTTTTGTACGGTGACCTTTGATGTTTTAAAAGGTGCTTTAAATAAAATGGTCTATAGGTATATGCTCCTTTCAATTGCCCTTTTTCGGAAGATTGTAAACCAGATGTACAGCACTTTTTGGCAGCTGTGGTTGCTTTAAAAGCGGAGGGCATGCATCTTCCAAAAAAAAAAAATCCTGACTATCCTCAATGGTTCTCAAGAAAAACTGCTGTCCCTGCAGGAGAAGCAAATTCAGTCTCCATCTCATTTCTGACCAGCTTTGGGGATTTCAGGATGTTTACCTTTTGTCAAAACAGGACAGAAGTGTAGCATTAACCTCATCCTTGAGTTAGTGGGTTACAAGACAGTAAGAAGCATATATTTGTCTCATGATATCATGTAGGGGAACCTTTGCCCAGATTGAGGATAATCCCAAACTCAGTTCATATAATGTCAAGTTCTAAGTTGCCAAAAAGCTATGTGGTCATTTCCAGGTGTCTGACAAAAATACTTGCTGTGATTCTTCCACATCTCTTGATACTCTTTGCTGCAGTGCAGCCCTAAAACATTTAATAATTTATACCACAGCCACCTGCTGACTGGTCCATCCAAGTCCTGCTCAATAAAATATAATTGATCTAAATTGTGCTGGTATTGGAAAATCGGCTCCAAAATATATATATATATTTTTTTCCCCAGCATCTGCTTGCGGTTTCAGGGTCTGTCTTTAGCATTTATAGGCTGACAAAACCAAGCAACTGCTGTAAATGTTCACAACACAGGTTATGGACTATAACACAATTGAAGAGCAAAAGAATATCATCAGATAAATAAAAACCAAGTGACTTTGTCATATTATCTATTGATGTGATTTTGCCTTACATACTCACTTTTGGTGTTAATATCTAGTTAGTCGGTGTTGGCTACCTCCAGCTCTAAATGCGTACATAAAAAAATGGTATAACAGTCTTACAAGTGGATGGAGGAGAGGGAGAGGAAAAAAAATTCGATCAGAGTGTATCAGGGAGATTTTTTAGCACAACAATGGAAGAGAAGGTAGAATGGTCTGGCCCATATACAGTCATTCAAATAACGAATGGGCTATTTTTAGCTAAATATCTGAGAAAATAGCCAACTATACTTTTTGTAGTCTGCATACTCTTAATATATACATCTAGTAATGTATACATGAAATGGGGTAGTTCATCTCTAATTTCATGGAAGACTTCTACATGACTTAAAGAGACCCATAACTTTCTCTTCCACCCTATAAAACAGAAACACTCTCTAAAAAGGTGCATGAATTCTGTATTTATTATCTTTAATGTTAGCATATTTATGTCAGTAATCATTTTTCATATTCAAACAACTGAGATGTCCAATTAGTTACATTCCACATGAGATAATCACTAATGCCACCCATTAAATTGGAACTGCTGGTTCTGGGTTAATTTACTTCCACATGGGATCACCTGGGTGGAGTGACCACTGGGGTGGCCAATTATTGGCCGTGACCACCCCTGGCCTTGCATCTAGCGTCATCCCTGCTAATTTGATATGGAATATTATTATTATTATTATTATTATTATTATTATTATTATTATTATTATTATTATTATTATTATTATTATTATTATT